AGCTCCAGAAGCCCCTGAGAGGGCTCATTGCTTGCCCTGCTGGAGAGCTGGGAGCATGCTGGGGCTCTGTGCTGTGGGACCCCTCCCAGCACCTCACCTTGAAGGCGATGGTCTCGTAGGGCTCTGCTGCCATCAGCAGGTACTGGTCACCCGGTCCTGCCAGCGCCGGTCGGGCGGCTCGATCCTCTGCTCGTAGGCAGACATGAAGCGGTGCCGGGGCATGATGCTCTCTGCAATCTCCGGGTAATCGATCTGGGGGGGGGGGTTGCAGCATTAAGGAGGACATCCCCTTTTCAATCCCTCTCTCTACAAACCAAAGCCCTCAGCTCTGAAGCGTTTCCAAAGAGAAAAACTTAGTGCCAGCCAAGGAACCAGCCTGGCCACTGCGACCACTTGCCACAAGCCCTGGCAGAGGACGAGCCAAGGGAAGGCCTATTTTATTTTTAATCCATGAATCCTGCAAAGAACTGCTCAGTAAGCAGCATTTTTACTTGGATAACCCAGACACCAAGAACTTTAGCACTGCCCTTACCTGGAAGAGGAGGCTCTGCTGGCCTGTTTCTGGATCTCTCTGTTTGGTCACTGTATAGAGAATAAGAAAGCTCAGTACATCACAGCAGGGTTAGAGGGACGTTATTTCTGCCCTAGAAAATACACAAAGCTGCCAGCAACAACATTTTTCTCCCATTTATCAAACCAAACGCCAAACTGTCTTTAACCAAAACTACTACTGGGGTCAGTTTTGGGCCCCTCACTCCAAGAAGGACCTTGAGGGGCTGGAGCATGGCCAGAGAAGGGCAACGAAGCTGGGGAAGGGTCTAGAGCCCAAGTGTGGGGAGGAGCAGCTGAGGGAGCTGGGGGTGCTGAGCCTGGAGCAAAGGAGGCTCAGGGGAGACCTTCTGGCTCTGCACAGCTCCTGACAGGAGCCTGGAGCCAGGGGGGGGGTTGGGCTCTGCTCCCAAGGGACAAGGGACAGGACAAGAGGAAATGGCCCCAAGTTGCCCCAGGGGAGGTTGAGGTTGGCCCTGAGGAACAATTTCTTGCCCTGGAGGGTTGCCCAGGGCTGTGCCAGGCTGCCCAGGGCAGTGGTGGAGTCCCCAACCCTGGAGGGGGTTCCAAGCCGTGGAGATGTGGGGTGAGGGACATGGGGCAGTGGGGACCTGGCAGTGCTGGGGGGGGGTTGGACTCGATCTAAAAGGTCTCTTCCAACCTCAGTGATGGTTCTGTGGATCTGGTAAGGATCTCCACCACTGCAGTAGGGCAGAGACTATGTGCACTGCAGAACAAAGCTGGGAGATAAAGAAGCCAAGCTGTGTACTGGAGGCTAAAGGAAAACAATGAGGAGTTCAGAGAAAAAAACCTGAGCTCTACATGGGATGGGTGACTGAGGAGCTTTAGTGAGAGATGGTGCAGAGAAGAGGGCCTGAAACAACAACATCACCTCCTGCCCTACTGCTAGTAAGAGCTGGAAGACTGAGACACACCAATCTATTATTCAAAAGGTTCTCACTCATCTGTCAGCAATGAAGAGCTGTTCCACGGGGAATTTAAACAATAAAGGCCACCAGGAGATAAGCCCATCTCTTACCCATGGCCAGATCTGCTAAAAGGACTGATGAATCATGGCCAGGCCCCACCTCCCCACACACCTTTGTAACCTGGTCGCCCAATTTTCACAAATTTCTTCACTTCCACTTTGACCTTCTCTGGTGCAGGCTGGGCAGGGGCCTCCTTGGCTTCCTTGGCAGCTCGGCGGGCCCTGGATTAATTTGAGATGTGCCAAATTTCCATGGTTAGCTGCACGGATGGGGCAGTTTGAGCCTCTGACCACATTCCACACCTCACAGAAAGCAAGCCAGGAGAAGCTGCTGCTTCCCTGCTGTTTCTCATGCACACACCATGACAGGCCAGTTGTGTCCAGCCTCCCCCTGACCAAAGGCTCTCATCACTGAGCTCCCCCACCTCCCACATGACCTTGGATTTGAGAAGACTGACTTCTTGAAATAAAAAAAGGAAACCCCCCACAACCTACTCATCCAAACCAAAACAAATGGCATTTCTTAAAATAAAACTTCCAACCTTCTCCCAACCTGTCATCACAAA